TCAAGTAATTTAATGTATTAAACTCTTAATAAAACCAATATATATATATATAAATAAATTGCAGCAATCTTGAATAAAAAAATAAAGGATCACAAGTCGACTACATTGTTTTTTTTAATATAAAAATTAGCTATTCATATTGTAAAAATAAAAATACAAAAAAGTGGAAAGATATCACCAAAAATTGACGAAACGTGAAAATTTTTTGTGTTTGCAGTTTCCTTTCTTTTTCTTTTCTTTTCTTCTCTTTTTTCCTTCTCTTTTCTTTTTCTCTGCACTTTTTTCTTTCCTCTTGACTTTTCCTCTTTTCTTTTCTCTTTTTTTTCTCCTCTTCTTTTTCTTTTTCTTTTTCTTCATTTTCTTCCTTTTGCGCCGCAGGTCTTTTCTCTTCTTTTCTTCTCCTCCTGTACCGTGTCGTATGTATATTATCTTTATTCATCAAGGTTTCACAGTTTCTTCGAGCTTAATTTTATTCACTATTCACATGTACAACATATACTTAAGGTCTATCTTTTTTTTCCAATTACAAACTGTTCTTTCAAAAAAGAATAACGATCTCATTTTTCATTATTAGCTAGTTTAAAAGATGACTATATAAGCAAAATGCAACATCTTTGCTTATACTATATTCCAACCAATCACCACATCGTTAAACTAAGAATTGTCTTCTTGATTTTCTATATGGAAAATTAAGGTTATTAGCACAAAAGTCCATTTGTTTGAAGTTCATTATGCAAAATATTTCACCTTGCATTTTTTTATTTATTTTCACCCTATTTACTTCTTTCGTTGTGGGATTCATTCTTTTCATCTATTTTTTTAATTAAAAATCGTGAAATGACGAATATACCTTTTATTCAAAAAAATTATAAATGAGTCACAAATACATAATTTAAAAAAAAAAAAAACAGAAATCACTTCATCTTTTTCCTCTATTTTTTGTCTTATTTTCTTTTTGTTTTATTTAAATAAGAGGGTATATTAATCATTTTACAGTTTTTTTAATTGAGAAAATGGATGAAAATAATGATTTCCACAATGAAAGGTGTAAATAGGGCAAAAAAAATAAAAAGGTGAGAGCACTTTGCACAATGAACTCTAAACGTAGCGATGCTTTGTGCTAATAACCCTAGAAAATTATGATTTCCAAGGCTCGCACAAACTTCTTTCAGGTATGTTCTTTTAATTTGATGTCAAAGATTAATATTATGCCCCCGTTTGGGCCACCTTATTTTCTCATTAAAATTAGAAATATGACTGTTATTCATTACATCAACATTTAGATTCAAATTTTCTATCTCTTGTGTGGACCCCAATAACGACTATATTTTTCATTCTCATTCTATAAAAAAGTGGCACAAACAAGGCCTAAAATTCATTATTAAAGTTCTTAGTTTTGTTGGAAATTGTACAACATCAATTTCCTCAACACTTGCTTTCTTGACCTTTTCACTTTTTTCAATAGAAAAATGTAGATTTTCGTTTAGAGGATTTTCCGATAACTTTGGGGCATTATTATAATTGGCTTGGTTGACTAGGCTTTTTATAAAATTGGTTAAAATATCTATATTACCCTTAATGATATAGGTTTTCATTTATTGCAAGATATATCCTTTTCTTATGTATATTTTTAGAGATTAGTATCTTACATTTAAATAAATTCATTATTTGATCTAATAAATTCATATATAATAAAAATAGTAGTTTAAACATCATAAATAATTTAAAGATTAGTATTTCTTCTCTCTTGAATTTTATTATATAATTTCATTCTAAGTTGTAGTATGTTAGAGTAATCTTTAACATATCTCTTTAACATTTTATCAAGTTCTTCAATTGATGTGTTTATATTTTCAATATATTCTAATTTTTCTTCTATTCTATCAAGTTCTTGAGAAGTAAATTTTATTTCATCTAACATTTTATTTAACAAATTATATAATCCTTTAACTGTATATCCTGACATTGCAGATAATATTATTAGATAATAATTCAAAC